TGCGGCCGCGCCGGCCCGCGCATGCGCGCGCGCAGCGGCAAGGTAGTTTGGCGCGACCGACGAGGCCGCGGTGGTGCTGACCGCTCGGCACATCCCAGCGGGCACTTGAGTGCGAGTCGGCGGCTTAGGCGGGTGCGGTATCATGGCGACGTCGGCAATTCTAGACACGAGGACGATGATAGGGGCGAAGTTGGTGACGACACTTGTAGACACGATGATGATGATGATGATGATGATGCTGATTTGTTTTTTTCAACGGGGCCGATGGCAATGAGGGATGACAATCGGTGCAGTGTGTCCAGTCCTGGCAACGGGCGCATTCGAAGTCGAACCAACTCAGAGGTTGGGCGCCTTAAAGGTCGCTCTGCAAAAAGTTAGGCCCAGTAAGAGCTAAAAACCAAGAAATAAAACAATAAGGCAACAACAACAATTAAAAGCCCACAGAGTGCATGCCCTGAGAGAGGGGGAGGGTCGATCAGAAGCTAAGCCCGTGGCCAGGCGACGATCAAGGAAAAACGGACCCTGCCCAAACAAAATCTCTCTCTAGAGAGCACGCGGAGCCTTGCGGTACTTCATCGGGAACCTGGCGGCAACAAAAATAAAGAAGAGTTATCGGCGGCCAATGCAGCTGAAGCAGCGCTTGCCACCTGCAACAGGCAATGGGCGCCGACAGAAGCACTGAATGGGGAACATCGGGCCGAACGTAGGAGCCCCGAGAGAAGCACGGAGAGCGGCTTTCGGGGAACCCCAACAAGGGCTTCAACAGAGAGCGAGGCAAAGTCCGCTGGCCCCAGAGGGGCACTATGAAGAGAGCAGCACCGAGACGGCAGAATGGTACATGTACAGGATAAAACTCCGCTGGCCCCGAGAGGGACGGTGAGCCGCTGGCCCCAGGGAGGCAAAAGTTATATGAGACAGCTAAGAGGAAGACGCAGACCAGGCACGGGCAACCTTCGGATGCCGCAGGGTGTGCAAGCGAATGCGGCCTTTGAGAAGATCCTTCGGCGGCTGCCTTGCCCCCTCACGAAAACTGGCTTGGACGAAAAGGAATCCGTCCAGAAGACTCGCACACATTAAACGCTGCTCAATGAACGGGGGGGCGATCAAAGTTAAACATCGGAACCAGGACTCTTCGCTAAAAAAAAGCTGGAGGCAGGGGGCGAGAGCTAAACTCAGGCGTCGGAATTCAGGACAAACGGCATAGTGCTCCATTGAGTCATTGGCCCCAGGGGCTCCACAGTTCCAGCAGCATCCTTCAGGCCCACGATGAAATCTGGCACTGGTGCAGACACCCCTCGCCAAGACACGTAAGACAGCGAGTCCCAGGTAGAGAGAACTTTCCTTGCATACCTTGCGGACAACCTGAACAGCAGCCGAGACCTGGGCGACATAAACCCCTGGGACCCACCGGACCACTCGGGCGTGGAGGCAGCGGATAAGAGAGATCGGAGGAGCACGGACCCGAAGGACTCGCGTGCGCTTCTTTTGAAACCCCGAAGCCTGAAGGAAGCCAGTGCACAGATGGATGTGTCCATTCCACGTGTCAATGAGAGACCGACAGAACGTGTGCTGCCACCACGGGTGCCGCATCCGAGCAGGGTGAAATTCGTCTTGCTGGGAAAGACCAAGAATCAGACCACGGATCTTCGTGAATGCAGCGCTGTGGTGGGGAAGACGAACCTGGGTAGCAATGCCGATCTGCGCCAGATCAGGGAACTCCAACGATAGGCCGAGGTCGCACATCCTGGTACACATCAGTCTGTTGAAGGCAAACCGAAGACCCGCCATAAGCTTCTGTTGCGTGTTCCCTTCACATTTCAAGACAGCAGAAGATGGGGGATATAACTGCATCGCGAACCTGAGTACCGAGACGGCAAAGATCACATACGTCCTAGTGGTCATAGCCAGCCCAACCCGAAGCCTCCGAATCTCAATGCAACGCTGATGATACTTCTGCAGGGCAGTGTTCCAGGCGCGCCGCCAACCTTCAGGGCCGATCTGAATCCCCAGATACCGAGCATGCCGAACCAAGCCAATTGCATCAGCCCCATTCCCAAGACTAGCGAGCAACCTGCGAATCAGCCGAGTCGTCCGCGGAGAGAGACACAAGCCACAGTGAACCAGGACACATTTCTTAAGTTCAGTGCGAGACCGATCCCAGGATGCAGACGCTGTAGCAACGGGAGAAGAATCGGTAGTTCCACGTTCACAGCATTAAGCCCGAACCACAGGTCAGCAGCATGCGCCAGGATTTGCCGAGGGAGACGACTGCAGAGCCAAGGTATGCAAGGATCGAGAGCTAGAGCGAAGAGCAGCATACTGGACGGGTCCCCCTGGCGAACACCCCGTAAAAGTCTGATCGCCCTATGACGCTTCCCTCCAAAGCAGACGGTCCCAAGATTATCAGAGTACAGCGCCTCCAAGAAACCCACCACTCCAGGATGAACCTGCATCAGGACCAGCACCCGAAGAAGCCAGGAAATCGCAAGGCTCGGAAACGCAGCAGCAAAGCCGGTCAGAAACATGCAAGACAGGTCCTTCCCCATCATGCACTGCTGAACTCCCCAAACCTCAGCTTCAAGAATCTGGTCGGTCATGGAACGCCCTCGGATACAGGCCTGAACCTTGTGAACGCTTTCGCGAGCTTCCTTCTCCAGTCGGGAGGAGAACGCCACAGACATTATCTTACAGTCAGTATTGGCCATAGCAAGAGGACGGCAGGCATCAGGAGCACGAGAGGGACAGGCAGCAAGGTCCGTCGGATTCTCACCCCTGGCTAAGAAGGCAATGAGCAATTCCCGCATAGAGTGAGACATGTCACTGGCACGATTGTCAAACAGGTGGCAGTAGAGATCATACAGGATCGCAATCGGGAGAAGGGACTTCCAGCGCGAGTAGACAATCCCATCGGGCCCTGGCATCGAGTCGTGTCGCCCCCTAACCAATTTCTCAAAGTCCTCAAAGTCTAGACGCCACTGATCATCAGGAAGGGAATGGACAGGAGAGATGTGGGCTTCAAGATCTGGCCAGAGAGACGTGTCGCAATCGAACTCATCAAAGACAGTTTCCCAGCGCCGAGCCAGTTCCTCTCCCGCCTCATCGATGGTACTGCGCGGGGCGCCACCAGGGTCCAGGATAGTCCCAGGAGAGATCCGTTTCTGACGAGGCCTCCAGATCTCACGACGCCTTTGCAACCTAGAACGCAGCCGCGCCTTCATCTCCGAATCTGCCTCTTTGTCGGCTTCCTGCTCAAGCTCAGTCAACCGAAGGTTCTGAAGCAACTGGATGTGATCACAAAGCGCTGGAAGAGTACGACAGGTGAGAGGGTCGAGGTGGAAGAAGCGGGACAGGTGTGGGTAGCAGGAAATGGCAGAAGAGACAGGCTGCGTGTGCCGTGCACGTAGACCCCTCAACGCAGCCAAAGAAAAGTGAATCTTCTCATCTGCAGTCCGAGCGACTTGATGGGAGAGGAAGACGCGTGTCCGCTTGCACGCCTCAAACATACACCTCTTGACTAGGGCAATCTGATCGTTAATGGGCGCAGTCCGATCCAATTCACTCAGAAGAATTTCAAGCTCAATGTGAAACCGAGGATGTTGCCCGACCCAGGAAGGGATAGACGGATTCTCAGATGGCTGGTATCTCCGAAACGTGGCCAAGACTGGAATATGGTCAGGGACATTCTGAGTGGCCGTGGCTTTGCCAATAACCGAGCACGTGATAATGAGACCAGAGAGCACGGCAGTGGGAGAAGCGAGATAAAGACGGTCAAGACGGCTCACGTGGCAGATTTCCCCACAGACAATCTCCCGACGGGTCGGTTCAGGCTGGTAGACCTCAACCCACCGTGGGAAGAACGAATGGAACTTATCGTGCCGATAACGATCCCCAGGCCTCTACTCCGATCCATCCCCACACTGACGGCCATCCTCCTCCAGAGCAAACTTGAAGTCCCCACCAATCATAACCGGTGCATCAGGAGTCCCCAAAGCATCCCAAATAAGCCGCAGAGACCGCCGAAACGTCCAAATAGGATCCCCCGGGGTTGGCAGGTGAACGTTCGGAATCCAGAGAGCACCCCGTCGGCCGTGGCATTTAGAGACCAGGATACGACCCTCATCGATACTGTAGTGCCGAATGTCCGTGAAGAGAGAGCGGAGAGCAGGAGAGATCAGCGTGAGAACACCACCAGCAATGTCCGAGGTATGTCCTGAAAATCCAATCGACCAACCTTGCTGATCCGACTGGAGCGCCGCTGCATCACCAACCGTGCCGTGGGTCTCCTGAACACACAGAATACTGGAACGCCGAGACAATCCCAAAAGCTGCTTGTACCGTCGTGTGGCCCGGAGAGAGGAGTGGTGAATGGAAGCGAAGAGCCCCCTAGAGTTCCATGTGAGCAGAGACAGAGAGCAGGAAGGGGGGGGGAAAAGGGAAGCGACGTATCAGCGGGCAAACCCCCACTGGGCGAAGAAGAGCTCGAGTCGGAGTCGGAACTGCTCGAGCTACTGGAAACAAAACTGGAGGAAATATTAAACTCAATCTTCCCTTCTCGGGCGCAGAGGGCACCCGCCAAAAAGTTCATAGAGGTCCCTGGGAGAGACGGAAACATTTGGTCCCCAGGGCGGCCTACCCTATCATATTCATCTTCAAAAGGGACGCGTGGGCTCAGTGGCAAACGCAGCCTCGAATTTCTCACGGATCTCAGGGGCGTTCAGTCCAAGAGCGTTGAGACCTGCATCGTCAGGGCGAATGTGGATCACATCAGAGTTCTGGGGGCAGCAGGTGAGGCGAAAGAGAGGAACAGGGTCTTCCCGCGAGCGAAGGCCGAAGATATCACCACCGATCCCATTAGACTTGGCCTGCAAACCAACCTTTGAGAGCTCTTCCTGGACCGCGCCCCGTACTTTCCCCATCTTGAAGAAGAGAAGCCGATGTTGAGGAGACAAGTTACGACGCACACGAAGGGGCCAAACATCCTGCTGATTACGTGGGTTAACCATGCTGTAGCTCTCACTCAGCTTCCTGAAATTCATCTGGAAGTCCGAAGCCATGGCCGGGGAAGGGAAATCCAAGGTAACTTTCTTCTGGAGATCGTAGGCCCGGATCCGAATGAGACTTGCTGCCTGCACGGTCGCACACTCAGAGATAATGTCCTTCGCAACCCTCTCGAGAGTGGTGGCCATCAACCGATCCTGGAACCCAAGGATGAGAAGGCGGTGGGCATCCTCAAGCGACGATCCTCCTCCTGCACTCCCTCCCGCAGTGGACCCGTCCCCGACACAGCTGTCAACTGCGCGGCGCTTACCTCCCTGACTGTTGACAAAAGGAGGCAAACGGGAGTTCACCTGAGCCATCTGTTCCATGGCGTTGAGACGGGTCTCTGACTTCTCTAAGCGGTCGGTGATCTTTTTCAACATCTGACCTTGGACTCCAACAGTGGCCGCTAATCCCGAGACCTTCGCCTCGAGTTTATCATCTATGGTTTTCTCGATCTTCACAAGCTGGGCATCGAGCGTGGCCTGGATCGCAGACATATCGACCGCCATCGCGGCTGAGAAGGGAGAAAGGGCCGAAGGGGTATGCACTCTGTGGGAAAAGGGTTAAGGAGAGCCGCAGGCAGCCTGTCTGCCGAAAACCCTCGATCTGCTCCTTGGCTGCTCCCAAGCTGGAGCCACGGAGCAATGGTTCCAACTTGAGCCAAAATGGCTACGGATGATGATGATGATGATGATGATGATGATGAGGATCGTGGCGATGACGGCGCCGATGCCGGCGTCTTCGCGTCGGTGATGAAAAATCTGGGAGGAATTTGAAATGCGCGCGCGACAGACGCGCGAGAGTGGCTCGCATGGTATTATTCGACACGGGTCGTGCCACCCCAGCACGCGCGCAAGGGCGTTCGAACGATTTCGACACGCGCACAGCGCGCGAAGCCAGTTTGGTAGCATTTTATGAAACTGTTGAACCGATGGTTTTCGTGAAAATTCGCAGGGGCGCGCGCACGCTTTTGTTGAACATCTGTGTTGAGAAACCTGGTGTTTGTGTAAGGTTTTTGGACACTCGATTTTGAAATTCCTCCGAAGCCAAGAAGTTGTTGAAGGATTTCGGCATGCGCGCGCGTCGACGCGCACGTGTTTACTTCGTCCTTTTACGCAAGGGATGCTTGAAAGCTTATGATTGTTGATGAAAGAGTGCGCGCGCATAACTCTTTTTGCAAGAAAGTGGCGGGGGGGTGTCGATACCGGCCTAGCTGGGATACTATGAATTCACAGGTAGGATGGACATTTGGTCAGAATCACGTGTTTTACATCGGATCTGGGGGGTCTTTAAACCCGGGGGGGGGGGAGGGTGGTAAAACCAATGCTATATTTCTTCTTTTTAAAATAAAAAAAAGAACAGATAATTTGTGTGATGGCAACGAGGCGGCGACGGAGAAGCGACGGCGGCGGCGACGGCGGCGACGGGCGGGATTCGCGGCGACGGGCGGCGACGGCGATGGGCGGCACGGGCGGCGATGGGCGGGATTCGCGGCGATGGGCGGCGACGGAGACGGGCGGCGACGGGCGGGATTCACGGCGACGGGCGGCGACGACGACGGGCAGCACGCGCGGAGACGGGCGGCAATCAGCCCGACAGGCGGCGACGGCAACGGGCGGCGACGGGCAGCACGGGCGGCGACGGGCGGGATTCGCGGCGACGGGCGGCGACGGCGACGGGCGGCACGGGCGGCGACGGGCGGCAATCACCCCGAGATGGTCAGCGCAAGTAAGAACACCTAAGTACAAACACCTTTTCGGGGAACTTTCAGCACGAGTTCAGATAGGATGTCGTCGAACAACTGTGGCACGCGCGTCACATGTGGCATTCAGCTGAAACACGTGATCAGAGTTGCACTGTTGCACAACTTGCTTCATCTATTAACTTGTTGCTCCCTACGTATGCTGTGCACTCCACACCCACGTGCATCTGCATGTTCTAAACCGGGTGGCAAAATAAGCTTGCAGCCCAGAGCCCTTGCACTACAGGCGGCACGAAATGCCCTGAAGCCCTTATTTGCATAGCCGCTTTCGCTTACATGCGTTGGATTCGAAGCTTTGTCGTTAGATGTTGCGCCACGATGTCTGGTCAACTCGGCCACCTTTCATCGTGCGTTCCCTTTGAATTATGCGGGGTCGATGTGAAATCGATGGCTTTGTCGTTCAATGCTGCACCGGGTTTATGATCATCTCGGCCAGCTCTCAGCGTATGATCCAAGTGCCGGCCTCGCAGCACTGCCGAACTAACGATCGCTACAAGCAGACCTTTGAAGGGCAACACTCACGCGCTCGTTCGTGCTACCTGGCCGACGATCGGATGTGTATCATGACCACTGTAAGTTCCGATTCGACGGGGGCAAACACCACGCTTTAGCCTGCGTGACTTGAGCCAAACATGGCCACGGAGATGGAGGATGAGCAGAAGGGCAGGGTGGGACGGAGGAGGATGAGGATGAGAGGGGGCGCAGGGCGCGAACGCCTGGCCGTGTGGGCCGAGGGGGCCTTGAGCGGAATGCTCTCGGCAACGACGGCGACGCAACGACGACGACGACGAGATGACGACCGAAACGCTGGCGGTGTTGCCGCGCGGCCTGCTCCCCCCTGCCCCGCATCCCGAAGCTGCAGCCCGCCGGTGCCGCACACGCAGACGCCCTGGCGCTCCTGCAGCAGCACTGCCGCCCCGTCGCAGCGCCACTGCAGCCGGGCCGCCGGCAGCGGGCAGGGCAGCCTGGCGGAGCCGCCCCTCCACCAGAAGTGCAGGACCTGGGCCGGCTGCGCGCGGGAGTGCCGCGGGGCAAGGACTGACCTCTGGTGCGTGCGCGGCCCTCGGGGGCCGCCGGGGAGGCCAGACGCACGGAATCCTTAAGCGCTGGCGGGACCCCTGTGGACCCACACGCCAAAGGTCACTCCTGGAGGGAGACAGAACGCCATGAACATAAGCTTCTAGCGCCCCGCGCGGATTTCTTGGATCTGCGCTGGAGGCGCCGCCGGGGGGTCCCAGCGCGGATCCAAGGCATCAGCGCGGAGCGACAAAAGTTTATGTTTAGGGTGTTTTTCTTTGTTGAACTCTAGCGAAGGGTCATTCTTACGCGTGGCCGGCCGGGGGAGCAGACTGGTAGCCATTCTGCTACTCCCTGGGCCTCTCCCGTGGTGCGTAATGACCAGGCTACCAAGGCGAACCCAGCGGTGGCGGCGAGGGAAGGGCTGGCGGTATGGGCACCCTCTCCTTCCCCGAGGACCGAGTCCGCCGTCGACACGGCCAGCCGCGCGCTGCCACCCCCGCCCTGCGGCTGCGAGGGCGAGCCCCAGGCCATGGCGCGGACGGGCGCCCGGTGCAGCAGCAGCGCGGCCAGCGCGAGGCGGCCGGTGTCCCAGACCCAGACGGCCGTCGGCATGCCGTCGTGACGCGTGGCCACGTAGCGCTCGTCGGGACTCCACGAGAGCGTGCCCACGCCTTGCCTGGGCACGCCGTCGCTGTCCACGGGCACCTCGGCGGGTCGCCGCTCCACGGGTACCCGGAGGCCGCCGGGCGGCAGCCTCACGTACCCCACGGGGGCCCCCTCGGCCGCCGGGTCCTCCTCTCGGCTACACACAAGAATGACCCCGGATAAGAGCGACCTTTGGTGCGCGGCTTTTGGGGGGCCGCGGGGGGGACCAAACACGAGCGCGCAAGACGCTACTATCGCATCGCGCTCGGCGATCGTGGGGCCCCAAAGGACCCGCACCAAAGGTCCCTCCCGGCGAAGGGCCACTCTCTTTCGTGTCGCCGATCCTCCCGCAGCACGAGCACCTCGTCGTCTCCCGCCTCGGCCAGCGCCGTGCCCAGGTCGTGCTCCAGGCGCGCCAGCGGCTGCATGGCGTCCCCGCTCACGAGCTGCAGGCCGCCGTCCAGGCACCCGGCGGCCAGCAGCCGCGCGGAGGGCGCCGGGCAGGCGCAGCGCAGGGGGCCGCAGTCGCCGAGCTGCGACAGCAGCTCCCCGGCGGGCGAGTACCACAAGAAGTGCGGCGAGTGCGCGGGCCGCTCCCACAGGATGATGGCTGCGTCGTTCGGCGCCCAGGCCAGGTCGGCGCAGTCGTGGCGGAGGGGGAACTCGGCGAGCCGCGAGAACTCGCCATCGCAGCCGTGCACCGCGACGGAGTCGCGGCAGTCGGAGCGGCAGAGCAGCGCCAGGCACCTGCCCTCGCGGCCGAAGGCCAGGCCCCTGTGAGGGTACTTCGGGTAGCGGATCTGGGCGGCCCGCCTGCCGTCCTCCAGCGCCCACGCGGCCAGGTACAGCCCGAAGTCGGCCACCACGAACACGTGCCGGGAGGCGGGCCCCCAGCGCGCGCGCGCGACGCCCGCGATGCCCTCCTCGATGCGGCAGGCCCAGCTGCTGTCCCGCAGGCTCCAGATCTGCACCAGCCCCGGCCGGGCCACCTCTGCGAGGAGGAACTCCGAGTCGGCGGACCTCGGCGGCGCGCAGGGGGAAGGGGGCGACAGGGGGGGGGGGGGGGGGGGGGGGGGCAGGGCGTTGGGGGCGGCGAGGGGCCCACGGGCAGGCAGAACGGGCGCCTCCTTGCCGGGAGGCCGCCCGCATGGGGCCTGAGCAGGTTGGGCCGCAGGATCGCGCCGCACCGCAGCTGCATCGGCGATGCGGTGGCAACGCCGGCGACGCGTCGGCGACGTCGGCGCGGAGGAGGCGGGACTCCGCACTCGCGAGGCGCGCGCGCGCCCCCGACCCCACGCCCCTCGGGCCCGATCCAGGAGGCCTGGACACGCACGCCCCCACGCCCCTCGGGCCCGAGCGCAGCGCTGGGGGGCCTCCCTCGGCAGGCCGCCCCCCCCCCCCCTCGCCGTGCGGCCCCTCCGGCGCGCCGCCGCCGACCACTCGATGCGCTCGACCTTCGCCGCGCAGACGAAGACCTCCGCGAGCCGGAGCGTGCGCGCGTCCCTCACGAGGATGCGGTTGTTCGAGACGCCGGCGAGGTGTCCGCCGTCCGGGGAGAAGTGGCCGAGGGTCTCCCTGTGGACCTCCGAGAAGCTCATCGGGGAAGCCGGGCAAGCGAGCTGTCGGGGGCCCCGTGTCGGCTGGCCGTCCGGAGGGCCAGGAGGCCAGGGAGGCGCCCGGATGGTGGATGAACCGACGGGTCTTGACT